TACCCTGCCCCATCTTGAAGGACACACCTGGTCCTGGCCACTCCTCCCACAGGGTCCTTCTGTCCCCCCATAAGCCGGGGCCTTCCCGCTTCCGCCGCAGGTATGTGAGCGAGCCTCGGGGACAGCTCAGAGAACGGGTGTGCCTTCCCCACGACAAAGAACAGTTCTAGATGGTTTGAGTAAGAGAGAAACCCTACGGAGACGCTCGCTCAGTGTGCCCCACTCCAATCTCAGGTCCAGTCACACATGACCCCTGGCTCCACCATGGACTTGGGCACCTGGAAAGCTCGGGCCACCTTGGGCCAGCAGGCCCAACCCCTCCCCCATTTGGCAGATAGAGAAAATGAGCCGGGGCTGGGGGTGGAGAGCACAGTGAAGTCCCATAGGGTAAAGCCGGGTTATGCCCAGGAACTCAGCTGGGCTCCAGATGGAACGCCCCACTCGCCACCCGGCCCTGTCACCCTGGCCTCCCCCAGGGCCTCCTATGAGCACCCAGCAACAGCAAAGAACCAGGCCCATGAGTAAGTGGCCGGTGCCCGCCTTATAAGGCAGCCTCAGGAAACTTGGCTGGTGTCAGCCTCGGAGCCAGGGGTGGGTGGCTCCCAGGGCGAGGCAGAGCCAGCACCCACCCCGCAGACAGGATTCTGGGTTCTGCAGCCTAGCCCCACCCAGAGCCACCCATGCAGAGGCAGAGGGAGAGCAGCGACCTGGGAGAAGATGCAGGGTCATTCCCACCCAGAGGCCGAGAGAGGGGCAGAGATGACCGCAGAGGCAACTGGGAAGGTGCCAGGTCCAGGGATGGGCACCAGCCTCAGAAACCAAGGACACCACATGCCGGAGTGGAGAGGGTCAGGTCTGTGGGTCCTCAGTTGACCAGAAAAGTATCTGCTTAGACCCTCAAGGGTCCTCTGGGGTCCCTGCATCTGCTTGCAAGTGTGACAAAAAAGCCGTCTCATCTCACTCCTCCAACACTGTTTTACTGAGCACCGACTATGTCCAAGCCACTTACCCAGCACCTTACGGGACTCTTAAAAACAACATCAAAGACAACTGCTCCACCCTCAAGTAAGCTAGAACCCAGCGCGGGGCACGGAGGGAATTCTGAATATTCGGCAAACGTTAAGGGTTTGGTTAGAGGTGAATTTCAGTTTCTTTCTAATTTCTATATTTTCTGCATTTTCAAAAAAAGGTACTATAAAACACTACTTTCTACGTTAAAAATTGTAGCAGGAGAAAGAAGGTTCATATACAAATAATTTTCGTTCCAAGCCAAACATGAGACATTATACATGAGAAAGATGTAAGGAGGCCTGGGAGTCAGAGGAAGTGAGGCTACCTCCAACTAGTGGGAGGGCTTCATGGAAGAAATGCCATCTGAGCTGGGCTTTGAAGGGTGCATAGGAGTTCAAAGAGCAGTGGTGTGAAGAGGAGCAAAGTTGGGGGTCAGAAGGTCAGAGCTGTGAGGAAAGGTGGCCTGTGGGAGGCCATGGAAAGACTGGGACAGGAGGAGCTGAGGAGCAGGGAGATAGCAGCTGGACAAGAGGGTGGATGGACTGCGGAGGCCGCGGGGTGAGTGAGCCAGTGAAGGCTCAGAGTGAGCAAGGAATTCATCAGTGCCACGTTTAGGGAGGTCAATCTGGGAGCAACTCAGCTGGGGACCCAGAAGACCTGGTGCTGCTTTTGGGTAAAAGGGGCAGTGTGCCATCAGTGCCACGTTTAGGGAGGTCAATCTGGGAGCAACTCAGCTGGGGACCCAGAAGACCTGGTGCTGCTTTTGGGTAAAAGGGGCAGTGTGTCATCAGTGCCACGTTTAGGGAGGTCAATCTGGGAGCAACTCAGCTGGGGACCCAGAAGACCTGGTGCTGCTTTTGGGTAAAAGGGGCAGTGTGCCATCAGTGCCACGTTTAGGGAGGTCAATCTGGGAGCAACTCAGCTGGGGACCCAGAAGACCTGGTGCTGCTTTTGGGTAAAAGGGGCAGTGTGCCACGAAGGGCAGTCAGAGTAGGGCCTGCGGGTGGGAGGCCCCCTGGAGCTCTCCACCCAGCCCCCAAGGAAGGGCAGAAGGGGACGGGAGTGCCGGGGCTTCAGGAGCGATGGACAGGACGTGGGGCGGCGGGAGGACCGGATGTGCATCTGGAAGGACTGGACATACCAGGACCAGAGAAAGGAAGAGCCCCTTGAAGAAGGGGCTGGGTGGGAACGCAGAGCTGGGCGCCCAGAAGCCACGGCGGTGGGTTCCGGGAACACCCTCCAGCAGGAAAGCCCTGCCCTCCTGCAGACCTGCCCCGGACCTCGGGCCTGGACGCCCAGGGCCAAGCGGCTCTAGGCCACATTCCCCGGCGCTCAGCGGGCCTCGCCCACCCCCTCGCCCTGCTTACTCCCAGGCCAGAGGGTGGCTCACTCCACAGTGGCTCCTGGAAGGTGCTGTAAGAGGGAAGACCTCCCAGGGAGCCATCCAAGGCCCCCTTCTCCACAGTGCACCCTTCCTCTCCCCAGCGTCTGTCCAA